ATATATATATATATATATAGTTAAAGATATGGATACTGGCCCATATCCACTAAATTTGCCAACTTTTTATAAAATGATGGAAACGAAAATTTCCCTTTTGTAAGTGAAATATTTTCCTATTTAAAAAATCATTGCTTAGTCTTTTATTTCTTCATTGTTATAGTTGCAATAATTAAATAATTTATCATAGGAGTTTGTCTTTTTTTCTTAAATGGTAACGTTAGTTTAAAAATATTTTTTCTTAAATTTTTTTTTTTATGGTTCTATTTGGTCAACTAAATAAGCAAAGTGATGAGCGTAGTTAGCCATTTGATACACGGGTTTAAAATAAATTTTACCACAAACATTAGTAAAATTATTATTGAAATAAGTTATTTGTACATGTAATATCGTAAGTTGTGATAATATTATATTATTCTTAGTCATTTTATATTGTTGAGTGAGTTATTAATCAATATTAAAAGATTCAAGGGACTAAGGATTTCTTATGAGTTTAAGTAGTATTGAGAGGAAGTTTCTCTCGATAAAGATTCAATTCGACTTCGAATGGAAGAATATATAAGGTTTTTGTTTGAATAAAATCTCATAAATTCATTTTCCTCAACTTTGTAGAGAGATGGAGTCTTTAGTCTATGAACTCTATTTTCTCTCAATCCTTTTCTACTCTTCTTCCAATCCTTTTCTAAGTTGTGTTGTTGTGATTCAGGTGGTGGAAACCTTGAATCAAGTTGTTGATTATACTCGAGCTACCCTGAGATAAGGGAAGCTAGGAATTTATGTCTGATGTATGAATTGAGTGTTGGAAAATCATTTCTAAGTTGTGTGTAGTGTGGAATTTCATTTGTATGTGGCTGTGTTAATGAATTCAAAGTAGGAAGCATGTTGGAAAAGGGGTTTTGAGTTGTTGGCCATAATCATTGATTTTTTGCAAAATCTTGGTTACATGTTGAATTTGAATGCATTTTTGAATTGATTATGATGTATATAATTATTGTTTTGTGTTGCATGTGTTGGAACCTTGTTGAATTTTAGGTTGTGGCTCAAAATCGGGTTCTGCATACGTAGAATTCTGATGTCACGTTGGGCACATCTTTAAGGCATCAGATGCTATTCTAACTTGAGGCTCTCTGTCTTGATCACATCGGGCACAAGATTGATGACATTAGGTGTGAGGAGAGAGAGTTGTCTCAAGTTGGCATGATGTTGGACATGGTTTAAATGGCACTAGGTGTGGGAACCTTGAGAGCTATCTAGCTTGGTGTTGGCCCAAAGTTGAGTGGTGTCTAGCATGGCCAAGCTAGAGCTCTTTGTCTAGGTTTCGTTGGATGTCAATATGGTGATGCTAGGCGAGAGTCGGGTAAAGACTTTCTACCTAAGATGGGGTCGGGCATGGTAGTTTACCAAGCCAAGCACGAGGTCTCAAGGACCTTTGTCTTAGCCACATCTGGCGTGGAGCATGAATGAGGAATAAATCTCTCTACCTGGATGGCATTGGGCACAAGGTGAGTAGCCCTAGATGCTTGTGGCTGAAGAAAAATATGATGTACAAGTGTTAAACACTTGTTGATTTAAGTAGTTAATAAAAATATGATGAATGAGTTGTAAGGATGAAGTAGTATGTGATGATTGTGTTGTGAGTCATTAGTTGAGAAATAGAACAAAGTTGTAAGTTGTGTGTGTTGACAAAGTTGTATGTTAACTGTGTGGTTGTGTTGAACATATGATGTGTTGTTGAGACATATGTTGATCAAAGAGTTGAATATGAGAAGTGATGATGGAGTTGTGAGATGTAAAGTTTTACATTGATTTCATTATCATGTTGAATATGTAAAGGTTGTCGTGTTGTTGATATCGTGTGTGGGCAAGATTGAGCCATATGTGTATGAAGCGATCATAGTATAGGAGTCAGGTTGAGTTATACTAATTACAAATGACCAATTGAGTAAAGTATGAAGTCGAGAACTTAGTTCTTAATCACGTATTGGAAGGGCATAATATTTGGAGGATAGCTAGTGGATTAATTCCATAAGAGACTTGGTTAAGTTAGCTAATGTCATGGTAGGCTCATACTCAACTGTTCTACCCTGACATTCGAGAAACTGAGTTATGTTGTGGATTTATATCTAATTTGTTGTTGATCTAAGAAACCCAAAAATATCACCTTATATTATCGATTCAGTTGGATCAAGCCACTTAAATTGTTCACCCTGTGTTGTATGAAATCTTTTAGTTGAAATACGTAACAACACATCTTGCTATATTGAGAATATTGTGTTATTGTGATGATTAACTGTGTTGAGACTTGAGACTGTTGTGATGCTGAATTGATATTATGATGTTGTAAATTAAGTTGTTGAGTTGATATGCATTGTATAATATGACGCCTTGTGTTGTGTTGTTGGAGATGAAATGATGATGAGGTGATACTCCTATATTGTATATACATTTTTTCTTTTTACTCTAATTTACCCTTACTTATTTTTATGTGGTTTAGACTATGATGATCATATGTAGTTTAGGAACAGGGCAGAGATAAGATTGGCTATGGGGGCCAATTAGTTGTACAAAAGGTGGAGGATTCTTTTGGTGATTGACTTTAAGGTAGTTGTATATATGTTGTAGAGTTACTTGATCGATAACTTAGGTTTTACAGTTACATTTATAGGATCATTGTATTTATATTGCACATATTTATATTAGTTGTTTATCTTTATAAGAATGTAATATATTACATCTATCTTATATTTGTAGATCTATAATTTTAAGTTAGATTTTTTTTTGCTACCGGTAATTATATCGTACAATGTAAGAATCAAGATATATCTTACAATGCAAATGATTATTAAAATTTAATTAATAACACGTAAACTTAATTTAACTTTTTTTTGAAAAAAAAGTCAAGTCAAATACATTAAAAATAATCTTGAAAAATTAAGGAATTAATTTCATATATATAAAAAATAGGTTAAATACCTCTTTTGGTCCCTAATAACAATTTTTTGTTTCAATTTAGTCCCACTTTAATTTTAAGTCTCAATTTGGTCCTCAATAATTTAAATCATTGCAATTTAGGACTTCCATCCAAATGATTTAAACGGGATTAACTTCTGCTGACGTGGATGCCAGGTGGATGCATAGGTGGATGTCAAATGTCATTAATACACCTGGAACCAGTGTTTTAAAACTCGGTTCGAACCGGCCGGTCGAACCGGTCGAACCGGAAACCGGTGGTTGGACCGAGCCGAACCAGTGATCAGACCGGATGTGCAGCTGACTCGGTATGACTCGATATGACCCGGCTAAAAACCCGGTTGAACCAGCGACTCGCGGGTCTCATGACCCAAACCGGGTCATCACTTTTTTTGAAAAAAAAAAAATTTAAATGGCGTCGTTTTTTTAATTTAAAAAATAAAATCTTCAATTTTTAATGTCTCTGCCCCCATTTGCTGCACGCTTAAGCTTTGAAACCCTAAGTCTTTTTTTTTAGTTTGATTTTAAGACACAAACCCAACCCTCATGCACCATCGCACGTCGCTCGTCGCTCCGTCGGATCGCTGCACAATTGCACCGCCGCACTCTGCATAGCCGCACAGTTGCACAGTCGCACCACTGCACCACCGCATAGTCGCTGGTTTCTTCAGACAGCTGGGAAAAAAGACAGATCTGTTGGCTGTAGTTTTAGCTTGTATATGTGCATCTTTCACCGGAGCAGGTAGGGGTGGAGATGCATCTGATCTTTCAGAGGTCCCCGGTCGTCAGTATCATGTCCCCGCGTCTCAGCATCTAGAAGAATAGCTAGGCTTTTATGAACCCGGTTCACAAGGTAAATGTTTTCATTTCCGAAGAAG